GTCTAGTCAGAGACATATTAGAGGCAGAAACAGGAGTTAGGAGGGGTAGAGGTAGACCTAGATTAGATTACTGTTCGCAAATAGTTAAGGATGTGGGCTGTTCTAGTTTTAGGGAAATGCGAAGATTAGCTCAGGATAGGAAAGAGTGGAGGTACGTGTCCAACAAGTCTTAGGACTAACGACCTTATGATGATGATAATAAAGTGATAAAAAAGGATATTTTCGATTCTGATTCGATTAGATATAGGTACCTATAACTTATTAATTTTAAACCGTTTGAAGGAGTTGCAAGTGATAACAATAACAATTCAATTGTATTTGTTGCTAACTTTTAATTTCATTTCAATGGCTGCAATTGAATTATGCCCCACATGATGATGCCAAACTTGCAAAACAACCGGAGATATTTGCATACCCACTGTGTACAAAATATCGCGACAATAATATCGATTTGCCGCGTTTGCAAAATAGCAACAGTAGGTTTATAGTGTTTATTATACAATTTTGCAAACTACATGCTAACGAGTTAAAAATTAACATACCTATCATACAAAACAGGTGGGCATCTGTAATGTGGTGGGCTAAATGATATATTTGTTCATTTTACTATCACGAATAAATCCATATGGGCTAAGATTGTTTAAAATTAATGAATAGAATGAGTAGGTATTACAAAAATTGTCCTGAACACCTAAAATTCTATCGAAAACACTTTCTGGAAGGCATTTTTATGGCTTTTTTAGTTGCTGATACGATATTTAATTATATGCTAATTAATGATAAAAACTAACAAAACAATTAGGCACTTCAGTGACGTAACTATAATGAACATAATTACTGCCAAATTAATTTTTTTTATTTTTGCTATTTTTATATTTTCTTAACCTCATCATACAATTAGAGGGTTAAAAGACAAATCCTACCTTGCATTCATAATAACCGTTTTAATAGCCGGAATGAATTTTCACCAATTTTTACCACCGTGGTGACATGCTTTTTAAATTAAAGAATACGTTAATTCGCGGTTAATGTTCTTGAAGTATGCAACTACAATACTCACTTCGCCTGTGTTGTCTTTTCCTACCGTAACCTAACCTAAAATAACAATTCTTTTATTCAATAGCTTAGAATCATTAGCTTACGGTAGGAAAAGACAACACCAACAATGAAGTGAGCGTTGTCGTGGCCGTGTGCCTCCCTTTCTCTACAGTAGAACCCAAAAAAAAAAAAAGAAAACTGACGCTTTTATTAGGTAGGTACTTGCCGCGCCCGTGTATGAGAAACATGCAAACGGAATACCTGAGCATGTGCATGTTAACAGGTCATTATTCCTGACATTCAAATTTATAACATTATTTGAGTTTTCCTACCTAAGCCAAAATGCGGCGGTCCCAACCCCAAACTCCGTCCCCATTGTTGCTGAGCCTGAGCCCCCTGTATAATTGCCGTCACCGACATCATGGGTTTCTCTTTCTTCAACATTTTCATAATCTGTTTATCACAGCTCCTCTATCACAATCACAATACAAATACAGGTAAATCTTTGGTCACAAAACAAAAGTCATCAACTATCACCCGTTTACAATTTCCTTTAGGACAGTTTATCAATATTCCCAAACAATCTTCGCGCTTCGTCAACTTTTCTAGGACTATTCACTTTCACACGGACCGCAACGTCAATATAAACTATCGAAGCAGATACTGATAAGGATTTCCACTCTTTTTTTTATCTCGCGCCGCGCTCGTATAGGATTCCTCAAAAACAATAAAAATATCGCGTCAGCGGCGATAAAATTTTTGCAAGGCTACGACCGCTAAAAATAATACACCACCGACTGAGTATACCGCTTTTTGCCTCTGCGAATGCTTGTTAGCCAAATGTAGCTGAAACAACATTCCGCCAGGAAAACGATTCCAATTATTATTTTAAACGACAACGCACGTGCTCGGTGACAGCACTCAAAACAAAACAAAACTTTGCCGGTCTCCGATCAGTTTCTAAACTTTTCAATCAAACATAAGCTACTCACTACGCACAGTCGCCGTTTGCCACTACAGATAAACTTTGTCAATTTTATTAACTCACACAACAATGAAGAGTTCCGCGTTTAATAAATAAAATCTATTAGTCCTTGGCCTTAACAATCAATTGACAATTTGCCGGCTCCCGATTGTGATCCCAACAATCGATCGTCCGCGTTTGATAGTTTCTGATTCGTGGTCGTACTAACAATCGATTACCGACAACAATCAATTGCTCTTGTTTTTCGCAACCGTCTGTCACGGTCACACAAACCGCAACAATCGAACTGTGCTGATGGCGCGGTGCAGTTTCACTTTTGTTCAGCGAGCGCGTTTTAGAGGAGGCCACGGCACCGCGACGTCGGCGTACGGGATTGATCACAGGCCCACACTGTGGAACGAGAAAGAAAACGAGCGTACAAGCGTGGGCGCCAAAACTCCGAAAATCGCATGCGTTATGTCGCTCGTTTGTTTCGCCGCGGCCTTTGAAAACAATCGAGCTGTTCCTTCGCGGCCTTCGCTTTGCCGGCTGGGTACTGTGCTGCCCGCAACTGTGGCCTGGTACTGGCGCTCGGCGAACATGTCGCGAATCGACGCAAAACAACTATTGAACTGTATGTTATTGCGCCTTATTTTATGCACATTACAAGCACTGAACTGTCTACAAAATTACTGAAGATCACAAAATTAATTAGTGCAATTATAATATTTTGCGCCATCCTCATCTATCTTGCCAAATGAAACTCATCCCACATTTCTTATCGGTCAGTTTCTTACTACACATACATAGTATTCTCAATTTCAGTTCGTTTATTAAATTTCAATATACTTATACAGTTTTGATAGTGAAAGCTACTGTTGTGTCTACTTCTTAATCATTCTACAACATTTCATCTGATAACAAAGCTCGAAACATTCGAGGACATTATCATTTAACTGGTGTTTGGTGCCAAACCTTTTAATTTAATGTCAGAACATACTTCCACCACTGAAACACTATTTTCTTTCAACTTTCAAGAACGTTTTTTTTTTAATCTGGGACAATTTTAGACATTATTGCTGAAGACAATACTAGAAGCAATCAAGTGCATTCTCATTTATTCCAAAATGGTGTTTAGTGGCCGGTGGTCGACTCTCAAACCCACAAACTGCAGAAATTTCAAACATCATAGAAGATTTCAAACATTTTATACTTAAAATTAGTGTCAGAATCAGAAAAACTTAAGAACATTCCCATTTATACTAAACTGGTGTTTGGCTTCAAACTTTTTTAATTTAGTGTCAGAGCTCAATCCCACCACTCAAACACTATCTTTCTTTAGCTTTCAAGGACGTTCTTGGTTCTTCCGATTCAGTTTTTTCTACGACAGTCTTAGATATTTTAATTGAGGATAACGCTAAAAGCCATCAAGGACATTCAAGTAGATTCTCATTTGTTCAAAACAGGTGTTTGGTGGCCGGTAGATGACTCTCAAACCCACAAACTGCAGAAATTTCAAGTACCTATCATAGAAGATTTCAAACATTTTATACTTAAAATTAGTGTCAGAATCAGAAAAACTTAAGAACATTCCCATTTATACTAAACTGGTGTTTGGCTTCAAACTTTTTTAATTTAGTGTCAGAGCTCAATCCCACCACTCAAACACTATCTTTCTTTAGCTTTCAAGGACGTTCTTGGTTCTTCCGATTCAGTTTTTTCTACGACAGTCTTAGATATTTTAATTGAGGATAACGCTAAAAGCCATCAAGGACATTCAAGTAGATTCTCATTTGTTCAAAACAGGTGTTTGGTGGCCGGTAGACGACTCTCAAACCTACACATCCACCACAAACTGCAGAAATTTCAAACATTATAGGAGATTCCAAACGTTTTATATTTAAAATTGGTGTCAAAATCTAGTTCCACCACTTAAACATTATGATCCTCGAACATTCCTGAACGTTCTTGATTCTACCGGCACATTTTACTTGAGGACAACGCTCGAAACTTTTAAAAACATTCTCATTTATTCTAAACTTTGGTTCCAACTTTTTTAATTTAGTGTCACAGCTCAGTTCCACCACTCAAACACCATCTTCCTACAAACATTCTTGATTCTTCCGGTTTACTTCAATCTAAGGATAATCGTAGACATTCTAGCTGAGGGAAACATTAGATACAATCGAGAATATTCAAGTACATTCTCACTGGTGTTTGGTGGCTCATTATAGACATGCAAAACCATACTCCCACTAAACTACAGAAACACTATAGATGGGAGATTCCAAACATTTTTTATTTAAAATTGGTGTCAAAATCTAGTTCCACTACTTAAACATTATGATCCTCGAACATTCCAGAACGTTCTCTGTTTTTCCGGCCTAGTTCACTCTAGAACATTTTACTTGAGGACAACGCTCGAAACTTTTAAGAACATTCTCATTTTTTCTAAACTGGTGTTTGGTTCCAAACACTTTTAATTTAGTGTCAGGGCTCAGTTCCACCACTCAAACACCATCTTCGTTCAACTTTCAAGAACGTCTTTAATTCTTCTGGTTCACTTCAATCCTATAATAATAATCCTAGACATTCTAGCTGAGGCCAACGCTAGAAACAATCAATGACATTCAACTACATTCTCACTTATTCTAAACTGGTGTTTGGTGGTTCAAATTTTATAGGAAATTCCAAACATTTTTATAAAACTAAAAATGTCCTTGTTGGACCACTTACAACCATCATATTTCCCATACCACCACAGCCATCGACATACAACGACCATAATAGTACATAATATAATAAAAATAAAACATATAAAACATATGGTAACAAATTTGCAGTTTACAAGTAAAACAATGGAAAGATAAAAAGAGAGAATTTCTAAATAAAACTGACAAATGATAAAATAAAAAACAAAGAAAGGTCGAGAACATTAAAAAGAAATTGATAATATAAATAAGATTAATACGAGATCGTTAGCTTTTTTTAAATCTTTTTTTATAATCAGCTCGTCTTGCAATTGTGTAAAAATATGTACATCATGCACGTGTGTAAAAGTCAACAATATTTATCAATTCCCTTATCATGCAACTCTCAAGTTCTACTTATTTTTAGGCTACTAAATATTATACATAGGTAAAACAATTTCATGATACTAAAATCACGAACCTCTAAAGTTGAACATCAAAAATGCGTGGCAACTGTCTAAATAATTCCAATTATAAACAGATTCTCTCGCGTGTTATTTGCGGATTCAGAAATGCGCCAATGTCACCAACTGGCATAAAAATAGCCCCGACAAGCATGATGTACACTAATTTATGATACACGATGATATTCCCTCGTAATAAATAAATATGTAAAATAGCGATAACTTGTAAGGCTTATTGGATAACAACAAACAGCAGTAAGAAAACAAAAAACAGAATAATTAACCTATTTCCATATATAAAAGAGTATTTTTCCACATAGGTGACACTCAAATACACGTGCCCATAACAGAGTATTAAGAAATAGAACAACCTCCATTTTAGCACACTAAAACATTTGTTGGTCGACGTAAAACAATTCACAATCCTATATAAGTCATCTGCTCGCTGCAAATATTAGAGCTACAATGTTCTCATATTATGTCTAATTTGCCAATAACACCAATGCGAATGCGACTTTTTGTAAATATATTTTGTTTAACTCGTACAAATTCGAGTTGTTCAAATGTCTCGAAAAGTCCCACATCATTTCTGAAAATTTGTTGTCAACAAAAAAATACTAGCGCAATAATACTGTAAGTAAGGGTTGACATGTTTAAAACACAATCTAAATAAAATGTCTTCAATGAAAGTGTTTTAAATTGTGTTTAAAACAAAAAAAAACATTACATATTAAGTACTGTTTAAATCCCTTCGGCTAGAATAAAAGCATTTATTGGCTATAGATAGGAAGCAAAGAAGACAACTCATAGGGCCGGCATGTTTAAAACAGTGTTTAATTAAAATAAGTTACAAACGTTTAAAACACGTCTTCAAAATAAACGCAAAAAATTGTTTAAAACATATGAACAAATTTGATAAAAAACTGTTTTTTCGACCTTGATATAAGTAATAAATATTATTTCATAACAAAACCTAACGTTACGTAACCTAACCTAACCCAAAATAGTTTATTTTTGAGAAAATAACATTTATTTATAATAATCTTTTATCGCTAATGAATTTTGCGAAGCAGCACATTACAAAGAATATAACATTAGCTCAATTCAGAACAATTTCTTTTGTTACTTTTTCAACATAACTAAATACTTTTATCTATAAAATGAGTTTCAAATATATTAGTATGCATACAAAACCGATAAATTTGACAAAAGAGATGTTTATTAAAACTTTTTCGTGTTTTATTTCCATCAGCTACTAATGCTGACAGGAGGGCACTTGTTCAGACCTACACTCTAATGCAAAGCCGGAGGGCAGGGCGGAAGACCCCTCTTTTGTGGGAATAAGTGAGTGGAAATTGGGGAGAAGCAGATGACAGACGAAAGGGAAACGACAAGCTAATGTTGAATGTTATTGTTCCAGTACTTGTCTATAAATGATTTTAGGAATTTACAGAAAAACTTGAGCCAGGGCAGGCCTTGAAACTTAACACATATTTCTTCCAAAATTGATTGTCAACATTTTACCTGTTAGCATAAATATAGTAGCAAAAATTCAAAACTAGGAAACAGTAGGTATTGCACAATTACTAAATTAAAAACTATTGTTTAAAATAATATTGCTTCCGAATGTTTAATTTCTACCTTAGGAAACGATTACTGAAAATCGTAAATTTTAAACATACCAATCTTTCATCAAACCCAAACAAGAAGTACTCATAGTTTACTACAATTTGTTATTAAACCTAAACTGTAGTAATTGCTTCGTTTCAATTCCGGATTGTAGTGTTTATTAGTTCACAATAACAATATAAATAAACAAGCATATTATGAAATACCTATCATACCTAACTACATGTCAATAATTACCAATCCAAATAAAAAATCGACTTCAAAACTTTGCCTATTGTCAACGTATACGTACAAATGAAAATACAAATATCACTCTCAATTTTCTACCCTTCAAGGTAGAATATTTTCTTAAAATTAAAATAGAATCAACCCTGAGATATAGCTTATTCAATAAAAAAAAGAATAATTAAAATTAGTTCGCAATCGGAGAAAGAAACACGTAAGACAGGTACACACAAAAAAAATAAAATCGAATTGCGAACCTCCTCTTTTGAAATGAGTTGAAAAAGAGCGTAATTTTTTATATTGTTTACATTGCATTACATAATTACAGTATAAAACGACTAGTTACTGGAGAGTGTACATGCGACCTAATTAATTGAAATTTTAATTTTTCTGAAACATTTAAGGCCTGACATTGATTAAGAATGTCTTGTTTTATCAGCGAATTATAAATACGAATTTTGCATTCGTATCTCTGGGCATAGAAAATTTTTTCCAGTGTCTCAAAAAAGGGTTTATTGCAAGAGGCCCAAAATACATTTTATTATTTTTTCATGTGGACGATCCCCAAGGATACTGATAGAAATATGCCTCAAAAGTATCCCTTTTCTATTTCCAAAATTACTAAAAAAAGAGATAGAATTCTTTATTGCATTTTTGGTGCACTAGTATAATAATTATCTTTTTCGTCAAATTATGCTGATTACAATCCTGTTATTAGTTGCAAGCGGAAGCAGCTGCCTGCCGGGCGTGTTGCCTCCGCTCCGCCGCCGATTCCACATGAAGGTCACCTCTGGAAATGGATGAGAACGTCAGTGGGGCGGCTGGCGGGCGCAGGCGGCACGGAACGTCGGCGGGAAGCACGATTCTGCGGATGTGATGCGAAACACTATCTTTTCACAACACAGCCGTCTCAAGGCCATACATAAACGGCTTACACATACAAAATTTTACACAATTATATGCATGTATATCTACCCAGTAGTTGCATTATGTATGCACATTTGTGTGATCATTAACAACGCTTAGCTGCAGCCTGGTGGCTCGTATGCACTATCGGCAATTACCAAAATTGAAAAAAATATTAACAAAGTTTTTGGTAAAAAAGCTAAAGTGAAAAATTAATAGAAGACCAATTTTAATATGAGTATACTGCAATATATGCATCCATCGATTGACACACTTTGTAATTTATTAGAAACCTTCTGTTTTGAAAAAATAACGCTAATCGAATGTCGACAGCCTACTTTCAATCAATTAGAATCGGTCCATCGCTCTCAAGTAATTGCTCTATTATATTAGTCAACAGAAAATTAATCGAATATCAAGAAACAGCCAATGATATTTATTGCTAACAACTTTCAATGTTTGATAAGGCCTTATAAATTATTTATCGAGACTGCTTATGATGTGTGTAGAAAATGGATTTCCGGATTCTAACCAGTTCAGCAACAGCGTTAGAAATGAAAGTCCCTGAAGATGTCCCTTGTGATGGAGCACGAAACGTCTTTTGATGTCACCATGATTCGTCATGGAGATTTCATCAATAAGACACAATTAGAATTAGGAAATCAATTTTCTTGCGACGACAACTGTGAAAGCATAAATCAACTTCTGCCTATGACGTGCTGATGAGGACTGATAAGTGCAATATGGGGTCCCAGGTCCCACGTCAAGTACTTACTCAATTTATAAGTCATTTTTTTAATTTCATATTAAAATATTTTTTCAGACAGTAGTTGGGTGGAATTTACTCACATCTAATGAAATTAATCCTACCGGTAACTTAACGCTCAACCGAAAAAGGAAAAATAACCAACATTCAGTCATCACAGGATCACAGCTCGCGCCCTTCCCTCCACATCCTTCGCAATTCATCCCCCTTACCTCCACTTGACCTTGGCCTATAATGAAAACTCCGCTCCGTAACGTCGACGAATGGTGCGTGTCAAGGTTTACTAAACCGAACCGCCCTGGATTACGTTCTGGAAGACCTTGATTGTTGTGTGCAAGAACTTTTCGCAATAAGCACGCCCTTATCATTAAATTTTTAACAAGGGCTTGTGATAATTTAGATACATTTTCATTTTTTTTAACGCATGTGGAGTGATATTTTGGTTTTAAATATATATTACTTACTCATGAACGAAATTGTATATTGTAATATTGCTCGAAAACTAATTTTCAGTAGATGTTCAGAGACCGTTCTTCGTTTTGCAGGCCATAAAATTGCTGCATACAATTTTTAGAATGTTTGCAAATTTACAAGGCGGTGTTGTGTTTATTTGAGAGTAGACCCTTCGAGGATGGGTAGATAAATCAGTTAACTACTTAAATTAGTTTATAGGGGTAACGGTTTAAGAAGGATCCTTTATGATCCCTAATATAGTTTCATTTTTATTATGGGGTGTTTATTTTATGAGTTTAACGTTTAGAAAGTCCCGTTTGTTAATATTTTGATGTAGCTTTTTCACAGGTTGTAAACATCCCTCTTTCCACATATTTTGAGTTTTGAAAGCCCCGCCTTGTACGTCTCCACAAAGTTGTTCTAAAAGGGTTAATCACCAATGGTGACATTCGCCACACCCTTGGCATTTGTTCCTAGTTTTTAAGTTGTAGATATAAGATGTGACCAAGGACTTCAAAAGAAGCACTTGAACTAAGTCAGCACAAAAATGCAACTTGCACTTGTGTAATCATAATGGATTATTAGTTGGAGATACTCTGTACATATTGTAAATACATAATTAAGTTGACTTCGCTGCAAGAGTTATATTTTTTTCTACCTTCCACCAAAGAATTAACCAACACGCCTTATTAATTTAACGCGTGTGCTGATATTCCACTTACAATAGTAAGTTCCCGAATATCTGCCTGTGAAATTTAACAGTAGATAAACAATTTTTTTTGAATTTTACATCAAAACCCGCTACCATCTATAACTTCATATTATTATTGTAATTTCTACGACTTTTAATTTTAAAAATAAATATCTACGATTATTAAGTTAAAAAAGAAAAATGATGAGTAAATTAGAAAAATATTTATATTTTGAAAAAGTATTTTTATGTGAAAAATAATAATCTTTCTCCTCCAAGTCTAAAAAATTTGCAGTTTTTAAAAATAAAACTAATCACGAAGAAGTTTTTAAGGTAAATACCTACACGCCAAATATATTTATTATTGTAAATCGATATGTTGTAAATTCTAAGATAGGCACTTAAAACTTGATAAGCTCCAAGTATACGTAAGTACACAAATAATGTAAAGTTACAGATTATTTCTAAAATAATTAGAGAGCAACTGTAAAAGCTGTCTTTCCACAATGTGAAATTCCTCTACAAATTTATTTGTCGGGTTTGTTTTTGAAAGGAACTGATGCCAAAATATTATTAAACATACAAAATCGGTTGGTATGTATGCACATTTATGCATGCATTTATCTACGTAATAAATAAAATAGACAGCTTTTATGACTGATTATTTTTATAATCGTCAAGTTTAAATAATAAGTTGGGCTAACTTTAAATAAAATTTTTCTTCCATTTATTTTTTTTAATTGATAAAATAGGTTACATTACCTACTTGTAGATTACCTTTCTACATATAAAAGAAATCTATGCTGTTATGTAATCGAATAACAATCTTAGAAAAATAATACTTTCCAAATTGTCATCATAACAACCTTCAACTATTAATTTCTGTTGTTTTACCAAGATTAGATAAGGCATTTTTTTATCAAAATGTGGAAGGTCACATAACGAAATTATTTATACAGGGGTATTTGAAAATATGAGATTATTTATGAGCAAGTAGAAATACTGAACTTAATATCATTATCTCGCTCATGTCAACTTACAAGTGAGTAACATATTTAAAAAATGGTAAAACATGTTTTACATTTTGTTCAATACTCAATCTACCTATATTCAAAAATTTTAGTAAGTTCATAATAAAATACCTGTAAAAGCATGTTCCATGAGTTCAGGATCAGCATAAATAAAAAGTGCAACAATGTTTATACACTACTAAAAAATAATGGCTTTTATAAATTACAAGGTGACACCTGTATGTGAAAGTATGTACTTTTAATTTAAGCAGGTGCCTGCTTATATTTATAATAAAAAGTTCTTGGATAGTTACAAACGTAACTACCTACCACCTAGCATTCCATTCTATGCACTTAAAATAACATTTTGAAACATTTAACCCATTTTCCAAAATATGAATACATGTTCCATCATTTTCAATGTATTTAACAATCAACATATTTCAAAGTAAAATAATATAATGCCGCCTAAAATTACTTAGGTAATAGCAGGTAATGGTAAATATAAAAAATAAATAAAATTATATTTAATCCAGAAATGCGGTCACTGAACCAAATAATTCGACCCTGACTTTGCCATTGCCCTTAAATGTATGTCATATGTTGATTATTAGGAAATTATCAAACAAAAATTTACTATACCTCTATCAGTCGAATCCATGGCAAGATCCTAACAAGCACCACTATTACTAAGCACCAAAACACTAAAGTTCACTTCAAAAAGTTGAAATAAACCCACAGCCTACTTTCGATTTAGTAAACATGGCCGAGTACGTCTGGCAATAAGTCCGACTGTTGATATTTGAGAAGGTCTTTCAATTAAACTAATATCCGATTTAACGAATACATATGTCTGTGTTACACGAAATCCGAAAAAACATCGTAAAACTTAAAAACTTACAAAATTTTAAACGGTTTAGGTAAATGAACTTATGTATTTATATTGCTCAAAAATCACTACAGAGGGCGACACGTCACAAACCTGTTTACTTTATAATGTGTCTAAGTAACCCGTAACCGGAGTCGGAGTATATACAATTCATCATCATCATCATAAGGTTCTCAGTCTTAAGACTGGTTGGGCTGGCATCTTCAGTCTTTCCTATTCTGAGCTAATCTTCGCATTTCCCTAAAACTAGAACAATCTGCATCCTTAACTATTTGCAGAGAGTAATCTAATCTAGGTCTATCTCTACTCCTCCTAACTCTCGTTTCTGCCTCTAATATGTCTGTAACAACCTTTCCGTTTAATATTTCTTTAGATTGTAATACCATAATTTCAAATTTTAACATTATTTCGTGGTAATACAGGCATTTTTAAAATGTACCATACTTCAAAATGATAAAAAATAATTTTAAAATCAAAAATTGATATAAGTACCATTAGATAATTGGGTTAATAGGAGTAAAAAAGAAATTGGATTTAATGTTTTTATTTCAAAAGGACTTTAACAGTTTCAATAACAATCACAATTATACTTCATTGTTTATTTATACGGTTTATTACAATTTGATTTTACCTATTTTCGAAATTGAAGCTATTTCAAATTTTATTAAGTAGTATTTTTTTAATCATGCAAAATTTGTGGTAGTAAAAGTAGTAGAACAAACGATATGCTTTTAGTTCTAAAACGAACGAAGTAAATACACAACTCCCAGAACTAGATTTTTCTTTTCATTGAAAAATTAGTGGACTAACAAACGATACTGAAACTTTTAATACCTACTTTTTTATATAAATATACTGCTATAAATAAGCAACTAAATAAAGCGACATAGAATAGCTCCTACAAAATAATAATCGAAAATAAATAAATAAAAATGTTAAAATCCTCAGATAAGTTTTTAAAGTGAATAAATCAACCTATAAATTCATTACATTATTTTCGGTTGTTCTTCGCATTCTTGTCGTTTTCTTTTGTGATCTTGCTTCTAAGGTGCTCTTTATAATTGAGGATATCACCTTTCCACTTCGTTACCGTTCCATTTTCACACACCCAAATTTCTTCAGCGACCTAAACACACAATTTAGATTAATTTTTTTTATTGACTAGGTACATTACATTTATCTAAGACCCTGCAGAGGATACTTTTGTTCCCGCGCGCAGACCTAGTGAAGCTTAAAATTAGTTTAGTTTGGTTTAATTATAATAATCAATAATTATTACAATGAAATACATAAATGTCATAATTAACTGCAAATTTTAAATTAGTGATCTGTAAAGTTAAAAGTAAAAAACTTAAATGTACTGCACTTAATTAAGTATTTTGGCAATTAAGATCAAGAATAACAGAGGTCATAATCAATTTCCTAATTTATTAAAAACTAAAACAAAGCAGAGATGGTTGTAGTAATTTCAGAGAGAGAAAAGCAACAAAATGCTATTACAGTAATCATAAAATTAATAAGCTAAATAGGAAGAAGGCGGAAGATTTTTTATACGTAGAATTCTCAAAGGTGAAAGCAATACAGAAAATAGGACATATCAGTTGGACAATCAAAAAAATAAAAGAAGACAGATCACCCAAACTTTCCACAAAGAATGTTACTGAGAGGACGCGTGTATGTTTAAATAAGTGGTGGATGAAGAAATGTCCACTGAATTAAATTCGTTGTAGTGAATTATGTTTCTAGTTTTCTTTATGTAAATATGAGTGGTTTACCTGATTAATGAGTCTAAAGTCGTGACTAACGAGCACCATTCCGCCTTCAAAGTCATTAATAGCGTCGGCCAAGGCATCGATGGTTTCCATGTCCAAATGATTGGTGGGTTCGTCCAACAGTAAGAGATGAGGGGCTTGCCATGCCAACCAAGCAAATACGACTCTACATCGCTGGCCATCAGAAAGCTGTCTTATTGGGCAAACCTGAAAAAATTTAATAACGACGCTTTTAGTAGGTCTCACCTCTTTTTTATTGTAACAAATTTCATTAAAACTCCAAGGTTTAACGATTGTAACCTTTGTATCTATTTTTACTATGGAATTTTGAAGATTACTGAACAGTTTCCTGTTGTTTTCGAGTTGCAGTCTCTTAGGAAAACTTTTATGTACACCTGGGATATTGGTCAGGCATGCGGGACCGTCGCCTTAACATGAACGCAGATTAATTTTGAGACCGTATCTAAGATTTACGGGCCGTATTTTTCACTACATATTATAACGAAAATTAGCAATTTATAGTCTACATGGAATACTTTTAATAGTGGTTAATACTAAATATTACTATATATTAATGTAACTTGAGGTAATTTATAGTGGATAAATTAATGAATTTTCGCAATTTAGTCTGCTTAGAATTTTTTTTCAATTTCTTGTTTTTCCTGTTTATTTCTTAATTTTAATAGTAAACATGGCCGAGTACGTCTGGCAATAAGTCCGACTGTTGATATTTGAGAAGGTCTTTCAATTAAACTAATATCCGATTTAACGAATACATATGTCTGTGTTACACGAAATCCGAAAAAACATCGTAAAACTTAAAAACTTACAAAATTTTAAACGGTTTAGGTAAATGAACTTATGTATTTATATTGCTCAAAAATCACTACAGAGGGCGACACGTCACAAACCTGTTTACTTTATAATGTGTCTAAGTAACCCGTAACCGGAGTCGGAGTATATACAATTCATCATCATCATCATAAGGTTCTCAGTCTTAAGACTGGTTGGGCTGGCATCTTCAGTCTTTCCTATTCTGAGCTAATCTTCGCATTTCCCTAAAACTAGAACAATCTGCATCCTTAACTATTTGC